TCCAATGCAGAGAGAGAAGTAAGTCTGTACCAGGGAATTGTTGTCTTCACTATTTAACACTATTAAATAGTGTTAGATTTCTGCTTCCTACACATCCAGTCAGCAATGATCCTTTATTTTTCCTCTGAAAAAACAGCAGAAATAGACTCAAAGATTCCTCAGTGACATCCTGATATCTACTATTTAACCTGTTAGATCCACTTAATTTATACTACATTGATTTTATACCATCCAATATGATGTTTACCAGCCAGTTACATCAACAACTGCTCATTCTTACTGGAGAACAACTGCAAATCAATTTTACAAGACCTGTTTTCTATATTCACACATTCATTCGTATCAGATATATAAATTACCTGGATCAACTAATTATAAAATATTTAAACTGCGTGGCTGCTCTTTAATATAATCCTTATTTATTAAGGGAGCAAAAAATGCTCTTTCACCTTTATCTGATACTAATATGCTGCCTGAATTTCTCCCCATAGCAAACATGGAAGAGAAATATTAATTCAATACTCTTCAATACAATTCAATACTATTTCCTTATAGTTATGGTGGAGGCTAACACCTTTGTCTATTAATAGTTTCAACCGTTTTTACCTTAGCTGATTACAAATTTATCTTTATATTCTTTTATTTCCATTATTTGTTTGAGGGAAATGGTGGCTTGTTCAGATGACTTAAAGCCAACGGATGTTGGTGTTCACCTTGCTGTACAGCAATGATCCCAGCACGGCAAGCCCAGAGCACCCAGCTCTGCGCCAAACCTCTCAATATGCATCAAAAGGAGGTAGAAACCCCAAAGAAATGGCTTTATTTCAGCCCACCTGTGTTTCCAGTTTGAAGCAGGAAAGATAAAGCCCCCTGCTTAATACTCCTCCCAGAAAAGACAACATCAGACCATCAGGTACCATCAGGTACCGGCAGGTTAGTCCTCCCTCTTTGTCAGGCAAACTTTTTACTGTTGCAGAAATAAAACGAGGAAGGATTAAGTTTGTGGGAAGGGAGTGGGGATTTCTTTGTGACTCCTGGGCACAAAGAGGGGCTGCTCTTTGAGTGTGTTGGGAGAAATGCCAAGTACCTCTGCAAACTTGTTTCTAAATACCTGGACCATGGGCTTCATCTGCCTGCAAACAGTTTTTTCCTTTTCTCTCCTTTTCCCATTGAGCAATCCCAAAATTGGGTTTCTTGGTAAAACCAACTCTGACATGCAGAACTGCTCAAACCACCCCAAAACTCAGAGATCCTCTGTTGTAGCTGCCTCCCTCCCAAGACGTCTTTTTAACCCCACTTTTAGCAGGAGCCCAGCAAACCGGAGCCTACAAAGGTTGTAAAACAATGAAGCTTTTATCCAAACTCGGGCTAATCTGTTGCTAACAAGTTCCCATTCAGGAAGGGGCAAGGCACGAACCCGATTTGAATCTGAAAGTCACCCACTAAATGCACCACCAGGAGAGGAAAGTCAAGGGAGAGGGAGAAAGGCTGGATTGGTGTTTGGCCTTGGGGCTGGGAAGGCTTCGCCCCAAGGTTTTGTTACCACGAATGCTGAATGCTCCGAAGCAGCTCCAGAAGATGCTCTTCCACTTCCTTTTCCTCAGCATGAGCATCTGTTTGGTCATGCAGAGAGCTGGATCAAGGCATTTGGCCCAGGCTAATACTCACCTTGGAGAAAAAAAAAAAAAAAAAAGAAAGGGAAAAA